TCAATCTGTGATATCAATTTACTAGTAAAACTCATCATTAGAATTAGTTCATGTAAAAAGAATGCAATTAAAGGTATAGTGATACCATTAAATTATAAAATTCAATTTTCAATGTCAAAAGATTCCTTTAACTCCACGTATTATACTACAGTATATATTATTCCATAAATAATAGCTCTCTGGCAGTTTTTTTTTTAAATCTTTTTCAGACAGGGTCTCTCTGTAGCCCCAGCTGAACTACAACTCAGTATGTAAAACAGGCTAGCCTCAAACTCACAGAGAGCCACCTGACTCTACCTCCCAAGTGCTAGGATTAAAGGCATGCACCACCATGCCTGGCTGGCATTTTATTTTTAATAGAATAGTAGTTTCTTGTTTTGGTTACTTTGACATACAAATTAAATATACCCATGAAAAAAAATCAAAGATCATATGGCAAGTTTAGCACATGTAGTCTTATACCGTGTGGATAGTCTGTCATTTATTTTTGGGGGGATTTAAAGAACTAATCTTAAAATATGAATAATCAAGAGGAGATTGTGATTTGCTTATTATTTATTTAACCTTTAATATGGAAGAATTATTGCTGAACATTTTCTCTACTATAAGGAATGCCCTTCATGTAATGGGGAAGGGTATTTATAAGAATAACATTATTTATAATAGCATTATTTCCTTTATAGAAAAATGTGTTTGAATTATGCTCAGTTAGGATTCTTTGAAGTGTTTGGGATTTTTTTGTCATAATGATAGGCACATATGTTAGGAATTACATATTTCAAATGAATAAACAATATTTTCTTCATTTTAAATTATAATATATGAAAAATACAAGATCATACAGTAAATCACTTTTAGTCCAATATATTGAAATTCATGATTTCAGATATTACATATTGTTAATTGAATATTCACATATTAATAATCCTGAGAGAAGGATCAATATATTAATAGTTTACCTTGTTAGTTTTCCTGAATTTGCTTCTCATTGAAGTTTCAGTGATTTAAATTTTAAATAAGAAGTTGGGATTTAAATTTTAAATAAGAAGTTGGATTGCTTTATAAACACTCTGTGCCACTTACAAAGAAATTATTGACTTAGTTCCTGTGGGTATAGCTATTTTCTCTAATCATACTTAAATTGCTATCTAACCGCCTGAGCTTGCAATTAATTTGTATGTTTCTCTGAACAATCCACATCATCCACACTCCCTCATGAAACTGTGGGTCATATTATTCCAGGATCCAGTATGCAGCTATTTCAGGTTTGGTCATCCTTAGTTCGGGACCACCTTCCCTTTTAAATGGCAAGTCTTTTGTCTAGAATGATGATTCAAATTTCAAATTAGTTGTGTCAATATAGTAAACCAAGAATTTATTTAAGAATATATTTCCACTGGCTGAGAAGGTCCTGATTTAAGTATTTATTCATCTTTTGTTGAAATTCTGTTTCCAAATCCAAGTTTCTAGTTTTTTAAAATTTTTTGTTTGTTTGTTTGTTTGTTTGTTTGTTTGTTTAAAACAGGGTCTCCCTGTAGAACAAGGTGGCTTGGAACTCACTATGGAGACCAGGCCTCAAACTCACAAAGATCCACCTGCCTCTGCCTACTAGTGCTGGGACTAAAGGCCTGTGCAACCACATTTGGCCCAAATTTCTGAGTTTCTTTTTTTAAAATAAATAATTTGTTGAGAATTTCATACATGTATATAAGGTATTTTGATCAAATCTATGCCCACTCCCTCCCCTCCAACTCCTTCCATATCTCCCCATAAGGTTCTTTTAGCATTAATATCTTTTTTTTTCTTTTTGAGACAGGATTTCCCAGTAGCCCCAACTGGCCTGGGACTCACTATGTATACCAGGCTGGCCTCAAATTCACCAAGATCCGCCTAGCTCTGCCTCCCGAGTGCTGGGATTAAAGGCATGCACCACCATGCCTGAAATACAAATTTTAACAAAATTATGAAGACCCTTAACAATGCAGGGTCCAAAACTCAGGAGTTAGCAGTAATGATGGCACACATAGGTGCACTGCTTCCTCCAGGGACTCTTATGTCTGGGGTCAGTGGTTGTGGCGGGAGGTTTTCCATCACAGGCAATTCTGATATTCTGGGCTGGGATCCAGATGGGGGCTGGAAGACACAAGCATAGCCTCGCCCTGTGTTAATAATAGGTTTGGACCTTTCCATTCACTTGTGAGAGGGTCCTTCCATCTCACCATGGGAACAAGAGTGGGCTGAGTGAACATCCCCCCCCCCCAATGCTTTTTTGCTGGGGGGGGGCCATTGGAGTCAAATTT